TATATAACCAAGCTAGATTCAATATATATTTCCAGATTATTTATTGTGTTCATAGCACCATACTAGACTGCTTTAGTATTAATAAAAAATTGCAAATGTGTTCCTGACCATATGTAGCTTACATTCTAGTAGGATGTAAACATGTGCACAGTTCCTCTTGATGCTAAGCAGAATTTAGTGCTATAATAAAAACTACAGAATATCCTAATGTGTCAAAGATAAAAAGAAACAACTTATTTCAACCAGCTGGATAAAGGCACAGATAGAACTAATGATTCACAGGATTCAGGATGTTGAAGCTAATTTATAAAACAGGGTAAGATTTCAGAGACCAGAGACAAGAGGATAAATAATCATGTTAGAAAAATGGAATCTTATTGCCATTGGAAGGAAACACATAATAAAACACAATCTATGGTTACTCTAATGGGCAAGTGACTGGAAAGACAACTTGAGGTGATGCCCAAGTGTATCACATTTCCTTTTCCACAAGACAATCTATCAAATAATCCTGAAGTGATCATGCTAAAATCATTGTCAAGAAAGAACATTTGCTAAAATATTTTAATACTAAAAATTGAAGGCATTTTAAGAATAAATTTTATTGCAAACTGTTCAAAGTTATATAATCAATCTATGCATTGCCTGTTTTCAGCAATCTACTGCTGAGAAAAACTGTTATTGGTATTATGAAACCAGCAAAGCCTTTTTAAAAACTAGATTATTTATATTTGTTTTGTTTGCATTACGTTTTTTCTTTACTACATATGTTTTTATTAGTGCATATTACTTACACAGAGTAATGGGTTTGAGCTTTCCATTTTCATATATGTATGAGTATATAGAATGATCGTATCATACCTCTCCTCCAAAGCTTTTTAAGTGGAGGAGAAAGGTGACTGGATTTTTGATGCAACAAGACTATTTTCTGAAATAAGTACGAGCAGGAAGATCTGGAGGCAGCAAAAGTATCTGAAGCGATACTGGAGCGTCCTGGAGGGGTGGCTTGCATGAGTGTGAAGGCAGGACAGAAAGAAAGGTTCTTCACAAAGTAGCTCTGAAGAATTGCCAAAAGTCAGTCATCTATAGCACAAGACGCATGAGAGTATTTAGGCATTTAGAATAAAGTGTCAAAGCTAAAAATGTTTCAATGTCCAGATTGTTTTTAAAACATGAGTTCATTTACTACATGTATTTCTAGCTATGTACGGTAATCTTTCCTGGGCAATTCCACAGACTCCTAATACATAGCATGCCTGCCTAACCCTAACCCTACTCTTGCATTCTGCTAACTACAAATTTCACTGCCAGCCATCCTACCTCTTAAAGTAAAACACTAGAAGTAACTGGTAGTATCTTCCTCTTTCCTAATGCTCATAGCCAGAGTCACAGAGTCACAGTATGTCCAATTTCACAGTACGTATGTATCTTTGTACTGTCTTCCTTTCTATTCCCAGCATTGTTGCCTGATTCCAAGATCTCATCATTTCTCAGCCATAGGTCCATAACATCTAACGGATCTCTGTATCTATGGTCTTGAATTCCCCATCCTGTCTTTCCCCCAGAACATTCACACCTCTGCTCTAAAAGGGAAATTACTAAACCATGAGACTAATAATACTATTTCCTGGATGTAACTCCGTTAATGGTACTACAGTACTTCATTTCATGGATAAAAATCCACAAAAGGCACTTGGTAACCTGGATTCTACCTGCCCTTTTAGTCTAGTTCTTCTGTTCTCTAGGATTCTTGAACTATTTACCATACTAATGTCTAGAGCTTCACTCTCATTCTTTTAAGTATAATAGTAGATATAGTAATATATTATGTATTACCAAAGTGTTCTAACATTCAAATTGATATATTTCTAGAAATAAAATAATGACGATTTACAGAATATAAGAATATTAAGCATTGGTCCTGAGTCACGTGGAAGACACCGAATCAGCCCACTGCAGACAGGCAGGTCTGCCCACACCCTGCCAAGGTCCCCAGTCACATGGAACACACACCGAATCAGCCCGCTGCAGACAGGCAGGTCTGTGCACGCCCTACCGA